CTAAATGGCATTGTGTTTTACTTGAATCCGTACTCTTGACGCTATTTTGACAGCTGTAATTGCGATTGTATTGTGGTTTAATTGGATAGCGATTGAGATTTTTACAATAACAAAAAAGGTACTGTGTGTGTATTGAGTTCGATTATTTTAAGTTAAAACAAGCATTTTGTGTGAGATATGGCGCGATTAGCTCTTCCCTTCGTTATTTTACGTAATGCCCGAAGAAATGAACTCAAAATAAGAAGAAATGAGCGTCGTTTGGCGCGTTATATGGATAGGGCATTCTCCATGGGCGAAGAAGAATTTGTGGCAAATTACCGCGTCACAAAAGACTTATTTAATTTGATATAAGAAGAGCTGAGACCCTTCTTACCTGTTTCAAAGAGGAGAAGTGACATATCACCAAAATATAAAGTAAGTGCCTGATAGAAATTGTGTGATATAAACAATTAATGTAACAATTTGATTATGAACTAAGTTAACATAATAATATCAATGTTTTGTTGATATAACCTTATAATATGTCATTTAGATGATTGTTTAGAACAATGCATGTATGCATAAATTTTAAACTACATTCTCATTTTGCAGTTATTGGTAGCATTATCATTCTTTGCAACTGGTAGTTATCAATGGATAGTGAGTACACAATAATCTTATCCAATTTTCTAAAAGACTTTTTTCTTTTCAGATTTTATGAAAAATTTGGAATCCTAAATTTGTCATAGGTGGCACACATGTTGCCATAGTAAGGCCCACTGAGAATGAAGAGAGGTTTCTCAATAGAAAACATTTTCACTCAAGGAATGTTATGATTGTAAGTCCTTAAACAAGGAGGGTTCATTAAATACTATATTATATATATATTGTTTTGTTTATTTAAAAATGCCATTGCTTTTGTTATAGATCTGCGATGCTGATTTGAATATTCGGTCTGTTGATGCCTCTTTTGGTGGTGCGACACATGACAGTTTTGTTTGGCATCAGCACAGCATAAGGAGTCATTTGATTGCTTTAAATGATGTCTGAGAAAATGTTTTTTGTTAGGTAAGTCATACATAGTAATAGTATAAATTTCATATACCGAGGTAATAATATTTTTATAAAAATTATATTCATAATGTACACAACTATAAATACAGACTAATCATGGAAACTAAAGTGTGAATTTATTATTTTTAGCTGATTCTGGATATACTCAGATGGTGTACATGATGACTCCTATTGTGGGTGCTGCTGAAGGGTCTCCAAAAGAGTACTATACTAAAGTGCATTGTTCTGCTCGCAATGTTGTGGAATGTACTATTGGAGTACTAAAGAATAGATGGCGATGCTTATTAGGGCATAGGGTGCTTCATTATCATCCTAGTAAAGCATCCAAATTCATTAATGGATGTTGTGTGTTACACAATATCTGCAACCAGTCCCACAATTATTATCATATTGAGGATACTGAGATATTGGCTGATGCTGAAATATTATACCAGCATCTCAAGAAGCTCATGGGACTGGTTCATCAGTTGCTGAACTCAGGAGAGGTATTGAAAAAAGAAATTCTTTGGTTCAGCAACTACGGTCAGCTTGTAGGTGATTTTAATAAAGGTTGTATCTGTAGTGTAAAATAAAACATAAATTTAAAGTTGATTTATAATGACCTAATTAAAGTGAGTTTCTAAATTAGTTAACACTGTAAAACTTTAATAAGTTGTTTTAGTAATCCTGAGCATAGTCTCAGAAGTACAACAACTACTTTACAATTTCAACTTGGATATATTTAAAAATTGTTATAATTTTATCTAACTTCCTTATTATATTTTGTGATAGTAATTTGTGTCATAATTATTATTTTTTTATTACAATCTTGTAAATAAAACTAATACTAATTATATATATTGTAAGTTACATTATTTGGTTGTTTTTATTTCAGTCTTGTTAATATAACTAATATTGTAAGCTATGGTAAACTATCCCGTTTTACAGTCTTACAAGTAAAATAAACTTATACTCCAATTATTTACATTTTACATTCCAAATAATAATAATAATAATACCTAAAGCGAAAATACAATAACTAAACTTATTTTTTTCTTAATTTTGTAACCTATTACTTATTACCCCTAATGCATTTGCTACCCTTGTATGAGCCTCAGCTATGGGTAGCATTTGCGAGTCGGTCAAAACTTCTGCTGGTATTAGCAAAGGCCTCCGCAGTAAGCCTCTTAGCCTCTACGCGCCTTTCTTCTATGCATGCCATGTGGTCCATCTCTGCATCAACACTTCTTGACAGCAATCGTTGTGACCGTCGACGAGAAGCATTTGTAGCGGAATCTTAAAACACAAATTTCATACTAAATAATTTGTTACTAATTCTTCAAAAAACAATTATAAAACACCACTTAAAGATAAAAAAAGATCTGCATTTAACTCAACACTATCCTAACAAGTGGGTCTCCATTGCTTTTTTTGACATTCCAATCCAAAGACTTCTTAAGTTTTTATCAATGTGCTTGTACATTACTGAATTGAAGGAATGTCTGTTGTGGTTTTGAAAGAATTTATTGAGGAATTCAATATAGGTATATTTTAAATGACTTTATATGCATGGTTAATAATAAATAACTCACTTGATGGAGGTGGTATCGTGCCAGCGGCAGCAGAAGTATCTTGCCTTGAGGTCCCAGCAGTGGGGAGTGGAGGAGGCAGTAAATGTTCTTTGTCTATTATGCCCTCCCTCCTCAATGATAATATGACATCATTTGCAGAAGTGGTAGGTGTCTCCACAGCTTCTGTTATTGACTGCTGAAAAGTATTAAAGTTAATGTCACAAAATATAGTTTTTTTTTTGAGAATAAGTATATTATTATTAAAATAACTATCTATGTATAGTGACATTTCCTAGGGCATTTAAAGACAGCTATTTCGGTCCACTTCCTTTTGTTATCTTGTTTGCCATGTGAAGTCCTTAGAAAACCCCTAGCGATACAGGGATTTTGCTTAAGGAACTCCACAAGAGCTTCCAATTGTTGAGAAGTAGGCCAATTTAAAACAAATTGCATACATTCAACATAAAATAATCAGACAAAAATACGTACCTTAAATAATCACTGCTTGACAATGTAACCGCTACACAACAAGGCTGCAAGAAACACTGCACTTATCTGAAGTACTACAGCCATGAATTAAACACTTCATTCAAACTTATGAAACTTTTAAAACTTATCTCGGAAATACACATTTTTTATTTATTTAAGGCAAATGCGTGACGACATACAGTCTCAGTGTGTTTATAAGATGATAAACAACAAAATATAGTGTTTAAGGTACCGAAAAGTAATAGTTAAGGACACATAATTACATTGTTTATTAAATTATTCATTAAAATCAATCATTTATGGTGTTAGAAACAGTTTTTTCATTTTGTTAAATGTTTGTCGATACGGCGTAAGCGCAAAGGTCCCCACTATTGCAGAGTTTTAATTAAGCTAACTTCATGCGTAACTATCCAATAACATCTCAATCCCAATTTCAATGCAATGCCAATTTCAAGCGTTTCAAGAGTATGGTTTCTGAATTGTATTATTATTGGATTGGCTTCAAATTGACATTGAGAATAGATTCAAGAGTAAGCAGGCAGGCAGTAGATGATGGACCTTGCAGCCTAAGAAATGCTAGAGAGGAGAGAGATGTTAAATTTAGTTTTTAATTAAGATAATCATGCCGTAATCGACAGCATTATCGTGAAATTTATGGTTAATTAGCCTGACCAATATTTCAGTAGATACTTACAAGTACATGTAAGCCAAAGTGTTATCCCAACCAACGTCTAACACTAGAAAAAACTTGATACAAGTTAACAATTCTGTGTGAATTTCGTAGGTAGTCAGCATACGCTCTTTGCTCCACGTTTTATCAATCAATGGACACAGATCAAAATAATAGGCTATTCGACACTATGTAAAATAAAGTACCAATTTTTGGCATATGTATTTAAAATTAATATTGGGGTTGGGAGCGATTTCACTATTCTGCCAAAAAAGTAGTTGATAATATTACTAAGGCCCGTATTAATAGATTGCTTTCCGCTTACACAATACGTGTGTTTATTTCAAATGTTATAATACCCATCGACAATCAAGATTGTGAATATAAAATATTCTTCTCATAATTGCAATAGTTACTACATATTGATCGATACGACCGAATCGTAAGATCGTTCGCAAAGTTCAAGGTAGTTTATTAGATTAACATCGTTTGGACTTGCGCAACGGTAATAAATAAACAATCAACATTCATGGGTCTTCGATACTCATATGAATACATACGACTCAAATTGTTTTGAAATTACTCATATTGTATTATTACTTTTCAACATCATACATGTTAATGTATGATGTTGAAAAGTAGTGAAGTTGTAACTTTTGTTGATATTTACGTACGGATAAATGTGCTCCACCCACTTTAAAAAAGAATACAAGTACGCATAGATAATACTATCCCATAGTACTGTGTTCAGGACCATGTCTTGGGGCGCTCTGTTCTCTATGCTTGCCGGGGGCTTGGCGCGGACATAACATGTCTTTATGTTGTTATAGTCTCTCAGTAATGACTGTGTTGCTTGAAGTTGTCGCCCAAAATGAAAATGTTGTTACAGGAACAAAAACACGTACAATGATCTTCTAGGTATTTGACCCGTACCTAAACTACCCTTTGTATAAAAATACTTCTGTAGGTCTGTAAATAGACTGATTATAAAACAGAGGTCACGGTGGCAGGCCCTCTCCGTTTTTTTACTGTTGGTTAGAGGGCTGCTATTATATTACTTCTTTAACTGTCATACTCCTAGATATCCATAATTTTACTAAAGATGATGCTGGCAGTGTTTTTGCGATAGCACCAGAATAATACCACATGTTACTTTGTCAAGCATAAAATTTTATTGTCACCTCCTAACTGCGGTTGTTTATAAGACTATAAATAAAGGACTATACTTATTGTTGCAGAGGGGCGGTGTGTGAGTGTCGCACCGCCATGTCGCATCACAGCGACGAGCAGGCGCTGCTCACCGTCGCCTCCGACTCGTTCTGGGAGCCGGGCAACTACAAACGGACCACCAGGCGGGTGGACGATGGACACCGGCTGTGTAGCGAGCTGCAAGCGCTAGTACAGGAGCGCGCCGACATTGAGAAAACGTACGCCAAGAGCCTGCGTGGGTGGGCGAAGAAGTGGAACGATCTCATAGAGAAAGGTTGGTCATCATCATCAATTGTATTAGCCGTATGATGCCCACTGTTTAGCAATAGGCCTCCTCCAAGAACCTCCACACCGATCAGTCTTGCGCTACTCGCATCCAGCGGCTTCCCGCGTACTACACCGTTAGTAAAACTCGGGAAAGGTTGGAATTATAAAGCATATTTAACATGAGCACTAAATTGGAAATGAAACCGTATTGCATTGAGTTGGCACAATTTGGAGAATGATACGAAAACTCATCGATCTCTATAGATACAGTTACGATACGATACATCCAAGTAAAGGAATGCGAACAATCCAGTCCAATAAACGATAGAAGCGGATTGATCGAGGCTGTCAGTTTCATGTACAGTTATGATGTTTTAGTCATTTTGTTTAATGAGTATGGAATTAACATATTCGATGTAATCTAATATCGAATAATGATGGTGATAGGGAAAACCTATTGGATTAATTTGACGAGTTATAAGCAGATTCCAATTAGTATGATTTCATTTGAAGTGTTGAGTTAAAGAACCACCAATTAGGTTTGTATCTCCGTTTTTCTTACTAGTAATTGCGAGTTATCTCCTAAACTTTCTTCCGAGAACAAGATGCGAAGCCTAAAGAAGTATCACAGATATGTAAAGAATTAGTCACATAACACAGACCATTAAGAAACAGATACCGAGGTAGCTGATTACCGTTCAGGCTATAGGTTACGAGTAATTATAATAATTGCACAAGCTGCGGCCTTTACACAGTTACACAAGGAGTAAACATCAGATGTACGTGTAAGTGCATCTTAAACACGGACGTGTCTGCGCAATGCATCTTTGACGTCTATCTTAGAACCGGATGCCTATTCGTATTGCGATTGCTCTGTGGCACGCCTTTTATGTGTTGTCAGTGCGTGCCGCTTATGAAAGACATAGAATAAATACTTCTTGAATATAACTGGAGATTTCATTCGCACGGTATGTAATAGTAAGTCTCACGTATTTGCATTCTTGCTTATTCCCCTGAATGTCCAGAGTGGGTTTTCCCATTTTGCTGATATAAGGGAGAACTCGGCTTCCAAGATCTGCAATAGTCCAAGTTACTGAAGACTTTACAGCCAAATAACTTTTTATTTGTTGTTTTTTATGACAATTTTTTATGCCGATAGTAGCTTGCGCTACCAAAAATATCACTCGCATCCAATCTCCTACCCCTTGAAGCCCTGGAACCTTACACATCGTCAGAAACATAACACCACCAAAAGGTAGTATTATTTTATTGTGATCTTTCTGTAAGGTGGAGGTTACTTTCCCAGACAGGCCCTCAATTCGAACGGAAAAGCCACTATGCCATTCCTCTCTTATATTCTTGCATGTTATGTTCTTGCAGTGAGTTAAGTGTCCACCAGATAAATCCTTATCCAATAACCACCATTTAAAAAAAAAAATGGTTGCCTGTAAAGTCGGTTTTACGGGCGAAGATTTTACGTGACAACGTCTTTTTCTCGGTAGAATATTTATTGATATGAATATAATTAAATTGCACAATAGGAACAAGGAATTGAATGAAAATAAGAATTGCACAAATTTTAACTATAGAAATATATTTTGTTTACTAAAACATTGTACATGTAAACTTAAACTCATCGTAACGTTACCGAGCGTTACACTTTTTCATAAGTGACTCCCAGCCGCAACCTAATTTAAGACGTTGTCACGTCAAAACATGCTATTATCTTTTGTTTAGTACAAAGTCTAACCAACATTATACATTCAGACATGCAAGTTCCGTAGATCATTTATCAGATGTCATAGGCACTTGCCTAGGTTTCTTTCAATTCATTGAATTAAGCGCTAACTTGAAAGTTTAGAAACACTGGCTTCAAGCTTATGTAATGGTTTGCTTCATAGACGCGTGCTTTCACATATTTTCTAACACAACAGGTGCACCTTATGTATTAAGATAAAATGAACTGGTTGAAAACTATCAAAGATAGTGAACCCAATAAAGAATAAGCTTGGATTAGAATTTTAAATGGAATTTGTGTGATAACAACAAAATAAGGCGTAACGTTTTTTATTAAGGGTGTCTATTAATTTTATTGTTGGAACACGTCACTATAAGAGCAAATTAAATTTACGGAATGAAATTATAAAAGCATGATGGTTTCGGTGTTTATAACACAACTTTAATAATACCTGTAGGTATATGATGATTCTTATCCGCAATCTTAGTGGCATAAAAAACTTGTATTTACGAAGTGTAAAAATAGCGGTGCATAATATTCTTCTTCTTAATGCAAATGTGACATTTTAAGATAACAGCATCCCTCGTTTAATTGTTCGTTTGGACAAGTCTGGCGAGAACATCAAACCCCTGTAAATGTTATCTTACACACTTAGCGTCTTAGATAAACATTATCTTAGGGTTGTCTGTCTAGAATTCTAGATGCTTCCATAGATAGTTTGGGCTCTTGGAAAGAATTAATGACTGACTGATTAAAGACTGAGGAATGGAATTTATTAATTGAGTATTGGTGGAATTCTTGGGAAGGTGGCCCGTGTTGAACCTTCGTAAGTCAAATTGGTTATCTTCTCAACAAGGGTCACATTTGTAAAGCGGCAAATCTTCTGAGGTACTCGAGCTGCAACACCCGCTCATGATAGATTTGGCAAGTGTTGAATTCAATTGAAAAACATTTATTCAGCACAGACACGGACACAGATAAATGGTTTAACTCACAATTGTACAAAAGGACATTAAGTGGCGAACAACCTAGAATGTTCTTATCTTAACACTACTTAATCTGTATCTACAGCTGCGCCGAAAAGGACCTATTTCAGAATTGAGTCAGTTTACATTGATGCTGGTTTTCAACTGGGTCCTTATTCTGATATGCAGATGCCACACACTGAAGTATGATGAGCCTCTCAAACAATCATCACAACTATCATACACGTTCATCAGTAGGTCAAAGATCTTAAACTATCCGGTACTTTGTTTTCGGTGATTCGACCTGTGGTGTATTAATCGTTAGTTACACGAACATTATAAAACTAGCAGCCCTGTACCGGTAACATCATGCGCATCCTGTGTAGAACCAGCTCTTTCATGAGGATGTCCCCAAGTGCCGTTAAGCTCGTGATATTTTACGGGTTGATGTTAACTGCTCATGCCTTCGTCCGTCGGTCGTTTGGTCGTCCACGGCTTGTGCTAAGTATTTTGACCTAGCGGAATGCTCTGCTTGTATGCTAACATGATGTTAGTTCTTTGAATAATTTGCAGTTACAAGTAACGAGTCGTAAAAGCCAAGTGCGAGTCGAACGTATGCACCGATGACACCATACAAACTTATGGATATGTAATTATAAAATCGAGTTATTATAAAGGCGCGGTTGCGGTTAGATTATACTAGCAAACCAGTGAACCAAATGTTCACCAATTAAAAAAAAATGTATTTAATTAATTGAGAACTTCGGAGATTTTGTGTGGTTTCGTTTGAAATTCGTGATTTCTCGAAAACCGGAAGTGCTACGTTACTCAAATCCGGTTTGTAGTCTTATCAGACTATTCTTAACTTATAACTTAAACATTCTCTTTATCTATCTCTTACGACTTGGCCGCTGAAACAGCACCACGGACGGACGGACGGACGGACTTGTCTAATAGATAAGAGATGCCATGTAAAAAATACTGAAAAGTGACTACAAATTTGCGGTGTTGTTACATGGCTTTCTTCTTGTCAAATTTCATGATTATAAGTCAAGAAGAATTTGATCGGAGAAAAAAAATTAGCGTGTTTATGTTTAATTAAGTTAACGTACCTAATATTTTTTGTTATTTATCTGCAAAATTAATTACTATGTTACCTATTTTATGCGAATAACAGTATATTAGCAAAGGAGATTGCTCAAATTGGCCCAAATGCACAAAAAATATTGACATATACGGTAATTCTTGGCGTAATTTATACTTTATTTTACAGTCATTAGATTTTAACGGACACCTTTGTATAATATATTCATTTTAAACAGGACTTTTAATTTTACCGGTTTGGAAAACATACAAATCATTTTGTCTATGGGTGTAGTAACATTCTGCCAAAGACTGATCGAAGTTGTTTATATAACATAAAATCAAATATTTTGTAAAGATCGATAAAAAAGTCATTTTTTTTAATTACACTGTGGTATTAATATCTACAACTATATTATCATTTTCACTACATGCAAATGTGGTAAGACAATTATTATAGATAGTAGGCGACATCATAAAGTCTATTGCCATACATTTTTCGCCAAACACCTCTATAAACACATTATAGGGTGTGATCTAAAATATGGGTATAATATAAACATAACAAAAATAATCGCTGTATAACCTAAATCTCTTAGCTTTCTTTGGTTAACGAGAGTTTAAAAATTCTCTCTAATCTGTGGTTCATTCACAATCATTACACAGTTTTACTTGACATTGGCTGAACGCACAAACCGTATATGCCATAAAAAAGAAAAAGAAGAAGAATCATCACACAGTTTCTGTCACAGAGTACCTTATTATAACCGGAAATGCATAGATGATACCTGATTTTAAAAGTTACTCTTGTGCATTAACTTTAAAAACCGGCAACTATCTGTTAATCTACATGCTCTGTATACCTGAATCTAATACATAATTTCGTTAGTTGGCTTGATTTCCCTAGTTTACTATATATCTTATTTGTTTATCATTATTTTAATACCTATGTACCTATTTGCAAATATAACATCAAAATCGTTCAGTGTATATGGTTTATAGAATTTCTCAGGGGTGTCCGTCAATAATATTCGTTTCTACAGTAATTTATATATATATAATTTCGAATCTAGGAAACTATTTTTCATGATTATTGGTCTTTAGGCCGAACATGTACGGAAGCTGAGCGATCTCCTTTAGAGCTGAATAAATCCTAAATCTATGGAATCACTTAGATTCATTTAGATTTTGAAGACTGAAGTATTTAGAAATGATATTTGA